AGTGATGGTCTGGGGAGCCATATCCTTGAAGGATCGCACAACGTCCTCCTCCTGGTGCAGGACAGTACCCGGCCTCATGTGGCCAGGGTGTGTCCTGGATGACAAAAGCATTGATGCCACTGACTGCCCCTAACGTTCCTCAGACCTAACTCTAATTGAGAACCTCTGGGACGTTATCTATCAGTGCTTCCGAGGCGAACAAGTAGGCCTAGTACCACAAACTGTCCAGGATCTCACTGATGCCCTTATCCAAGGATTCCACAGGACATCATCTGTTTTCTCATCAGCAGCACACCGGCACGTGGGGGCCATACACACTAAATCACATTATGATTTGCCCTGATGAAGTCAGGCAGGTTGGATCAGCCTGTGATTTCAGTTTTTTACTTTGATTTTCGGGGTGATTTTGAATTTTGAATGAATGTCATTTCGTTTTCACTGAATGATACAATGTAAAGATTTTGAACTTACAACTTTTTTGTTCATCTAGATTTGATGTGTAATTTAAGTGTTCCCTTAATTATTTTGAGCAGTGTATTATCGCCTTTCTGCATCTATCTATCTATCTATCTATCTATCTATCTGTCTATCTATCTGTCTATCTATCCATCTCTCTGTCTGTCTGTCTGTCTGGAACAATCCAGTGACAGTAGCCTATATTAGCACACCGATGCACAAGCTAACCCAGCTGTCTTTATGTCTCTCTCTATCCGAGAGCTTCCTGCTGGGTGTGATGTTCCGCTGCCATGCCCACCACATCCACAGGCCCGCTTCATCGCCGACCACCGGAGACACGCTGCTCCCCCCGGGCCTGATGATGGGCCACATTGAGTTACCTCTCAGCTGTGTTCCTGCCGTCAGCAGGAGGCGGCGGGCTGGCTGTGGCGGAGACATGATCCCGCTGCTGTGTGGCTCCGCCGCTGGGGCAAACACCGACCTGCGTCTGCATGGGATCCACACGGGGACAATGAGGACATGGCGAAACGGACGTGTCAGGAATCGTGACGGCCGGCAGTCACATCCACATCAACAGGGTGCCGGACTAGAAGCCGGTGTACGTGAACGGTACAGGTCTCTTTCCCTCTCTCATAATCTCTCTCTCTATCGCGCCACCTCTCTCTCTCTCTTCCTCCCTCTTTACACAGCGTCCCTCCACCCCTCTTTAGTTCAGATTTGTTTCAAGTAAATCTCAAAACAATAGCCAATCAAAGAGTTGGTAGATGCATTATTCCCCATCGCTACACGGAGATCCCTTTCTGTGTTTGTAACAGCTGAATCAAATATGACGTCTCAGCATCTGATATAGTCTAAATAAATGCTGTGAAGAAAAACAAAGACAGAGTATGTGTAACAGACTATTGAAGCCTCAGAGCTGGACCTTGGATCCCCTCTTTAGGAGATGTAGACAGTAGGAACAAACACAGCGTTGTAGGCTGAGACAAGCAAACTTTATATTTTTGCAGCTTGTCTGTTATTTGGATAATTATTTAGAAGTAACCGGCTGCATTCAATTTGGAGATCTAGGTGGTAATACACTATTAAATCAGAAGATGGTGCGCTTGTCCTTCTGGCTTTAACCCACATGTCCAGATCATGTGCAGCTCAGTGATGAGTGAGCACTGGCCTGGTCCAGAGTCCGGACACTAACTCTTGACAGATCCACAGTGCTTTTGCAACACATGGATCTCTTGCTGCTGGTCCAAATGGTCCCCTAGGTCTGATGCAGGTAAGAACAGCAGCCAAGAACTTTTTCCATGTACATGCAGGACATTGAGTATTGTTTTTGTTTTTTAATTGTATTTTATTAGTGCAAAATAACAGACCCATTGACAAATGATATTAAACACAGAAAAGTGTAACAGAAAACCTCCTATCACCAGTCCTTCAAGTCAGATGTAAAGTAAAGTGCAAATGCAGCTTATCACATACTCCCACCAAACAACTATGTGCAAACGTTTACTATCGTCACATTTACAGCCCAATGCCTCAGGTGCAAAAAGTAACTATTTACATTTAATATCATATTCGTTTCTATCTGTCTTGACACATTTACTCTCTGAAGGTGGCTTCTGTGTTGGAATAGCTCAGTATCACTACAGATAACTTGATTTATATAGCGTCAAGTCATAACAGAAGTTATCTCATTGCACTTTTAATGTAAATTAAAGTACTGTACTTAGCTTATATATATATATTATAATAATATTCAAAGCGCTTTTACATTACGTCATCATTCACCATTCACACACTGGTGGAACAGCCACCAGAGGCAATTCGCCCAGCATGCAGCCTGGAGGAGCTGGGGATTGAACCGCCAACCCGTCCAATTAACAGGCAACCCGCTCTACCCCTGAGCCACAGCCACCCCCTTAATATAGAGCAGGTCTAGACTGTACTCTTTGTAATATTAACAGAGACCCAACAATTCCCACCATGAGCAAGCAGTGGGCGACAATGCAGAAGCAGAACCTAGACTCGGGGTGGGCTGACAGCTGAGAGAGAAAAGAGAACACACAGTAGAATCAGAATGCTTTATTGTCATTGAACAATAAGTGCAACCAAATATTGATCAAAAATAAATAAAAGAATTGACAGACATTCACGCATACTGGTAAAAACGAGTATCCGCAGTAGTGTTGTAGTACTCGAGACTGGTCTTAAGACCACTTTTTGATGGTCTTGGTCTCGTCCCGGACTCGACCGCATTTGTACTTGTCTCGATTTTATTTTAAGACCAGTCAAGACCGTAACTTTGGGAATATCAAGAAATTGCTTTTGCATCGTCTGATTTAATTGTTACCATCCTAACTTTGATTGGATGTAAAACTTATTGCTTCAAATAACCCTAATTAAAAATGGGTTGTTACCGTTAATGACTGTCCCCCCTCCCTGTGGATCTTTCAGATCAATTTGAGAAGTACCTGTGATCTCGTTCCACATTTTATTGTGTCATGTAATGTGGAGAACTGGTCTCGGTCTCGACTACAACACTAATCAGCAGTAATAAAAGATAGATGCATAGTGTATCAGTGTGCACTCAGCTGTGATGATGCTGACAAAAAAAAAATAACTCACGCATATTTAAATAAAATATGAACACATTGAGGGTGGGTCTCCAGCTTCCTCCCACCATCCAAAGACATGCAGGCTAGGTTAGGTTTGTCTATGTGTGACCTGGCAACCTGTCCTGTACCCCGCCTTCTGCCCGATGTCGGCTGGGATTGGCTCCAGCCCCCCACAACCCTGTACACAGGATAAGCGTTTGACGATGGATGGATGGATGAAAACATTGCACAAGTTCCAGCTGGAGATCATCTCACTCAGCCACGACACTGCAACAATCCCAAGTTCGCCTCACGGTTTCACTGTTTTTGACAGTTCTTTGGAACATGTGGAAAGAACCTGTTCAGGATAACATATCCCTTCAATCAGTCACTGTTGCAGTGCTCTGCCAAGGGTCCACCACCTAATAACATAGCTTATGATTGGAGAGGAGAGTCTACGTGGCTGCCAGTGACTTAATTCACCAAAACAGTAGCCGTTTGTATGGTTGGCACTGGCTAAATTAGTCAAGAAATAGTCCACAAATATGTCAGTCCAACGACTCATGACTCTGACACACGTGTTACAGGCCCCAGGCACAGGGCATGTGGACAGATAATAAAACCTGTAAAACAGGAGAAATGAACAACACTGGAAACTTGCTGCCGTTGGTCTTGACGGTCTTACCAGAATTTATTTAATAAATACAGTCATTTAAGTCGATCAATAAAGTATTTTTTGCACATCACTCATTTTCAACTAAGTTACTAAATTAGATAAAGTTAACATACATCTATCAAAAAAAAAAACCACACATACACAAAAAAACCACACATACACAAAAAAACCACACAAACATACAACCATAACATACTGATAAGGAATGTAAAACTTTTTTTTTTTTTTAATTAACAGGCTAAATAAACTGTTTATCACAATAGTTATGTACTAACTGACAAAGATGTTGCTGTCCTCAATTTACCAATGGTTTATAATATTCCAGGCAAGATAATGACATTTAATTGGTATGGATGACCTTTAACCAACACCAGACATTTTTTATAAACAAAATACAAATAAAACACTTTAAATGTAAAACTAAGAAAATGCCGAGGAGCTGTAAGCATTAACGGTGGACATTTACATTGAGTAGGGAGCAGGAGTGCTAACATTTGTGTTTGTTTTGCACTTACTGTCATCCTTAACGGCCGTCCACATAGCAGAGTGCAGGAAACACAGTGAATACCAAACACAACTTCAACACAAGAGATAATGATTCACTATACCAAATTCTCGGTTTTGTGCTTTTGTGCAACTTACTGACCTGTAAGAGGAGAAATTAACACTGGAAACTTGCTGTTGGTCTTGACGGTTGTACCAGAATGGCAAGATTACGACAACTACGTCATCAAAACAGTCCCCAGCCGGCAGCAGGAACGCGCTCTGCTGCCCCCTACTGTCTGAGAGGAGTACAAACTGGTAATGCTAACACATTGGACTTTGGTGACTCACCATCAAATTTATACACAGTGCTACAAAACAAAAGATATTTTTAGATTAAACAAAAAATTAAATGTGACCATACATTTTGTGTGCATCACACGTGCAAGGTAGCAGTGAAAACGTGGTATGGAAATAAATAGAATTTTGAATTGATGGAATTGAAGGTCTATGAAGATTCTCAGTCATCCAGGTCATAGTTATTCAACAAAGATTAAAGTCAAGGGCTACTGGACTTGGTTGAAGATACGTTTAATCCCCTCATCCAAAAGGACTTCTTCAGTTCTTCAGAAGTCAGACTCATCCAACATTGGACCTTTCAGATCCAGCGGTGCTACAACTGACTAGATGACCTCCATTGAACTAATTATGCAACTTCTAAAACCAACTGGCTGTACCAGTGATCATTCAGGAGCTGAACACTATGCAAAGATTTAATACACAAAATACAACCTTAAAACAATCTGTCAACAAGAGCTGTCTAATAACATAAGAATAACTTAATGAAACTAATCAACGTGATGGCCTGATGAAAGGTTATGGTCATTTAGACAGTGAGATTACTGTAAATACATTTAACGTTTTCTTATTCATACATAGTAATTTATTTATCATAAGATTTTTATTTTGTTTAAAAGTAAAAATACAGAATTTTGTTGGCATATCTAATAATGCAATATATAACTAATGTATATTTCAACATACATACACATTCCAGTATAACATAATGTGCACATCCAGGTAGCAAATGAAGGCATTTCTGTTAAATGTGTACAGTGTGTGAGAGACACTTCTTGCTTTGAAAGATGTGCTGTAATATATTCACGTGATGAGTCCACTAACCTAATCAAGCTACTGGTCAATACAACTAACCTGACAAATCTAAAACCTCTCAGTTGTAGTGTTTGAGAGAGTGCACGGTGCAGACTGTACAAAGCCTCATGCCAGTGTGACTACAGTTATGTCACCATTATGAAGAACAATAATGTGAAAAGACAGTGAAAATGTAATCCATCCGACTCTTCGTTCATTCATAACAACATATAGCGGGTGAGGCCCCCTCCTCGGAGCTCACGCAGGCGCTGGCAGTGTCGCATCATGTTCAAAATCCCCTGAAATCGCTTGTCCACCTTCATCTGAGTAAACTCACGAATGTCTTCCTCCACCACGAAATACTGACCTGAAAGACATTTAAACCAGTGAAGCGTCAGATCATAAACTCATGACCACTGCGGCCAACGGTGTTCTCCAGGAAACGGCCTAAAACAGGGAATGGCTTTCTACACCATTGTATGCCCATCACTGGGAACATTGGCTAGATCCAGCAATAGCCTTTTGGCACTGACTACGTTGTTCGGGTGATCAGTTTTTAGTAACCCTGAAAACTCATGTTGCAGCTCACTTTCCTTCTGTTGTGTGTGACTTGCAGTGGGTTTTTACTTTACGTGCATGTTGTCAAATTGGTGAATGTGTTTATTTATTTGCAGCTTTTAATCAAAAAAAGCACAGATCAGTTCCCTGATGAACATAAGGACTTTCACAATTTAAACTCTTCATTCGCAAAAATGATAAACATGGTACTAATATACCACTATATATCAAGTGCATTGATATATTCATGTACGGGACTAGATCAGAAATCATTAAATTTAGAGCACAGGTCAGACAATATATATATGCAAACGTTGTCACCTTTTGTATCTTTGGTCTCCTGGTCCTTAAAGCGCTGGTGCAGCTTGCGTGAATGATTGTTGAGCGTTTTCAGCGACTGATGGAGGATCTTGTACTTTGCAGATACAGCCGTGTTAATGCTCTGCACCGCGGCATTAAGCTGATCATATGATACACGTCCTTTCATGTACCTGAGTGAGACACAATGTTCAGCTTTAGAAAGCAGAGCTCAAAGAGGCACACACAAAAACCATCTCTCCTCCTTTAACATGCTGTAGCCGCATGAAGAGCTGCTCAAAATTCATCATAAATATAAAGAAAAGGTCTGAACTAACATATGCTAGATCACATGCTACATAACTAGTGATGTTGATATTAAAAAGGGAGCAAGCCTATTATATAGCTGATTCAAGTTAATCCGAATCTGACATTGTAGAGCAGATATGAGTTTGAGACGTAAACTTGTCACAGCAGAGAAGATGAATTAATGCAACAACATGGTCTTTCATCTTGTTTTTGAATGTTAAGGACTGTCCAGTGCCCTAGTTTCTCTTTAATCAGAGCACAAACTGGATGCATCTATAAGCTTCAAGCGCCACCATAGGTTAATAAAAACACAGAATCCGAAATGTGTGCAGTATAACTAGGGATAGGTATCACTACTCGATACCTTTCTGGTATGGACTGAAACAGCCCAGTATCGAGTAGAATCGAAACGTCTCCAGCCACATCAAGTGACGCTTTTTGTAACCGGAGTGCGGCAAAAAATGATTATTTGTCTGTTTTTGCTTGCAGCCAAACACGCCAGCATCAAGAAAGAGAAGAGAAGCCTTTTATTTTCCATGTGTCTGCACCATAAATTGTATAAAAAGTCCATGCTGATTTTAACAGCCCTTCCACCTTCAGCTGCACCTCACTGTTGCAAGTTTATCACCGCAAGCTTGGCTTTCCGTTGGTCTCATCTTCTGGTATCATTTAAACACTCCTCTGTACATTTTTATTTGCTGTTCACATCACCCATCACTGATCGATCGCTGCGTTCCATCACATCAATTAAAATGCTTTTGTGGCGTAGCAGCGATCAGCTGATTTTACTGACGGAGCCTCCGACTGCAGCTGCGATTGCTTCAGGTGTCGTTGGTTTGGTTCGGCTGGACGTGCAGCCTCTTTTCTTCCGTTTGAGAGTCTTAAGTGTAGTTTAATGACTTGTTTAAACAGACTCCATATTTGTGACATTTCGTCTTTTTGGAGGTTTGCGACTTACCACTAAAGGAAAAAGCACTCGCGGAGATCTTTCAATTCAGTTTCTTGATCCAAAAATAATTTTTATGTTGTTTACTTTTAACCTTGCTTGCCCATAATAAAAATAATAGGCTACCAATCAACTGCTATGGCTTCTATGGTACTCTATTGGTTTCGGGATCACTTTAAGGCTACTGGTATCATCAAATTTTAAACAATACCCAACCCTAAATATAATTTGAGTTTTCTTAAGCCACTCTGTCCCTGACAGTCCAAAAGTCCAAGTTTAATAAGGATTTGGTCTACAAACTATCATGATGACAAGCTGACTATATATGCTTAGATAACCCAATAAAAGATTATCATAAGTCGTGCCACAATGTAACTGCCTATTATTTAGGTTCTTTGGGCGCTTTGTTATGTTTTGTCTGATGTTTTTTAGTGCTGAAGAAACTATATTTGACTTTAGCTGCATATTCAGGATGAAATGACACTTGAAAAGTCAACTTAAAATTTAAATCTGCCCAGTTGTGACACTGAGCAGTAGGGCTGAACGATTTCTAAATGTAATTGCGATTTTTTTGCCAGATATAGCGATTACGATTTGATTTGCAAAAAAAAAAAAAAGAAGTCAGACACTGAATGGCATAGAGAATCTGGTCAACTTCCAAAATAAAACACCCTGTGCAGACTTCTGATCGTGTATCAACAAAACAGACAAAAAGAGAAACAATTTAACTACGTAGCCTACCCAATCACGATAGAAGCACAAAAACAAGGACAGCTGACCAAATTTACAAAATCGGCAAATTCAGGCAGGCAATACACGCTAATTCTGAAATGCTCCATGTGGGATATGTTGCCTTCGGAGAGCGCTAACCATGATTCTACGTTATCCTCCAGTTTTATTTGTTGTAAAATGTACACGCCCTGTGCCCGCTCTGATTGGTAGAGTAGGACCGTAACAGGAGGCGCATGGTGCTTGTGACTGGTTAGCAAGTCTGTCACACAAGGATGACAACGGAATGAATCTGTAACTGCACCACTATTAAAAACGGGTCAGATGCGCTGTATAATAAACCTACATTTTATTTGCAGTCTTCACGATTAGCCAATCACGTTCTTTCAATTGGCAATTTTGATTTGAAAATGAGTAATCGTTCAGCCCTACTGAGCAGATTAATTGCTTAGTCTAGAAAATGTCAGAAAAGAGTGAAAGCTACCCAGCTCCCCTGAGCCCAGTATGGTGACTTCAAATTAGGGCTGAAACGATTCATCGATTAAATCGATAAAATCGATTCATAAAATGCTTCGACACAAATTCTTTGCATCGATGCTTCGTTTAATCCATGTAACTATACAGCACAGTGTTTCACAGGGACATTTATTACTGTCGCACATTGCATTCACGTTGTCAACATGACGTGATTATGGGGGCGCTGTTTGCAAAGTGGGGGAAGAGAGAGAAAACAGCTAGGGACAAAAAAGAAAGTGTCCAAAGTATGGGATTATTTCAAGCTAAAGAAAACTCTAATGTTACAGTCCGTCCACCGTAAAACGAAACTTTTGTTGCCTCGGCAACACTCCCGCCGCCAAGCAAAAGTACTTCTTAAGCGACGCATCGATGAATCGTTGAAATAATCTATAAAAGCTTTGAATACTAAAATCATCGTTAGCTGCAGCCCTACTTCAAATGTCTTGTTTTGTCTGCCCAACAGTCCAAAACCTGAGGATATTTGGTTTACGGTTTATGAAACAGAAGCAGCAAATCCGAGACACTGGAGAAGCTGGGTCCAGCGAATGTTTAATATTTTTGTTAGCGAAACAGTTCATTGATTTGTTAATTAATCTTCTGTTGATGGACTTACTGGTTTAGCATATTTTTAGCCTGCAGGTCAAGAATAATTCAACAATACAAATGACTGCTTCTAAACTCTATAAATAAATTGGATACTAAAGCTATTATACTGCTGTGGTGGTTAAGGTATAAAATGAGTTAGTGGTTTGTTAGGAGCGACACATGATGCATTAGAGCTCAAGATCTGACTGTTTTTCCCCTCCAACACTGGATCTGTGATAGATTATTTTTAGGGCTGAGAGAGTTTACGCATTATTATCACGTTAACTAACACAGCTTTTAATATTACTAGCTGCGTTTCGACCAAAGGAACTATACCCCGGAACAAGGAACTTTTGGAGGAACTCACTGCGTTTCCACCCAAGGGACCAGGGTCTAAATTTAGTTCTAGGGTCTTAATTTTATCCCCCAAAAAGTCCCCGCTCGGGGGGGTAGTACTTTCCAAAAGTACCGGTACTTTGGGGGGGGGGCGGGTCTTGCCTTGCACTCAAATTCTGAATGGGCGAGTAGAGGCTACTGGCTTTAACTGGAGAATGTCGGTTGTTTTTCTACGACTGCTCCTCTCTTTTCCACCGTTGTCTGCAAACCAATAAATCCCAATCAACAGTCAGATAGCCACACAAGTCTCGCCGATGTCGCCTGAGATTGTCCATCGGCATTAAATGTGTAGCTGGGAAACTGCAGCCACCGTGCAGCGGTGTGTTTCTAGCTAACAGCTGATGGAGTTACCCTAAATAACGCTGTGAGGTGGTGGCGCATAGATAAGATGCTTGCCTTTGGTGTCATTCACCATTGTGTCCCTGAGCAGAACACTTAACCCCTCGTTGGTCCAGAGGCCTCTGACATGTATAGCAATTGTAAGCTTTGGATGAATGTAAATGTAAATACTGGGTCCAGAACAGCTGATTACAGCAGGTAATAAAGCTCATTAAACATCCGGTTCCTCCGACGCTCAGGCGACACAGACGAGTGCTGCAGCTGATCTGCAGATCTTGTCGGCTGGAAATTTTTTAATAACCTTCTAAACTTTCGCAATTAAATTTATAACAAACTTTATCGTGTCTCTCTCCCACACAAAAAAGCTGTTTAATGGTCAAGTATAGCCTGTAGTTTTTCATTATATTCCATCAAATCTGATGTTCATTTATAAATGTTGCTCATGGATAGTGGTTACAAATAACAATGCCTGTGCATCACTTTGTACGGCGTATAGGTCAGCTGGTTAATTTGCCTAATCTTCGCAGGTCTTTAGACCACAGTGGAAACGCACACAACAGTGGGCTGAAGGGACCTTTTAGTTCCTTGAAAAGAGATCTGGGGACTTTTAAGTCCCAGGTACATTTGGTTGAAATGCGGCTATTATTTTATTGCTCACTGGCTCTGAATACACATACAGTCAAACCATGGGTCACAGGAGGGGCGGGATGTTGATCAGCCTGCAAATCAGCCACCCAAACAAGCAGCGGAGGGAGGCTTCAGCAGACTACGCTGGATGCAGCATGTGGGAGAAGTAGATAAACATAAGCAAGAACAACTAAATGCCACAGCGAAGTGGAGAGCTACACACTGCAAGCTGATTAGTACCAGGGAAGATGTTTATCTTAGGAACGTTCTTAAAACCGGGTTGCTCTACGCTTCTCAGGTGAACAGCCAGTGAGACAAGCTCTCCGCGAGTAAACGGCAAGCGATTAATCGCTTAAAAAATTTAATAATTGCCCAGCACCAATTATTTTATGCAGGAAAGTGTTGTGATTGGTTAACTTTATAAGTTTTATGAATTTAACCTAGTGTGGGGGGGAGAAAAAAATTAAATAAAAATTTCACTGCAGGAATAATTTCCAAGCTCTTACAAATAATCCCAATTGGTTAAATTTAGAGATTAAACAACATTCATTATCTGGACAGAAGACTGTAAATTCCTGGGACTGACACATTGTTCACACTACTCTTGTCACTTGTCTTATCAAACACATTTATTTACAGCAAAATGTTGCTGAACTGTTTCTGTATGTCCCAACAACATTTTGAACAACATTAATCAAAATATGAAATCATGCTGGATATTAGTGGGGGATAATACTTACTGAGGGATGCTCTCAAACTCTGGCATAGTGATAAACTCCATCTCTCTAATGAAACTCTTGTTGGTCTTTTTGACATTTTCCAGCTGGGCTGGCTGAACGTCTGCTGCTTCGTTCTGGTTGATTACAGGTTCACTTCCACTGAGAGATGAGAGAACATTACAGTTAAACATTAAAGGTCATGCTTCAGAACTAAGTGAGTAAACAGTTTTGCCTTCAAAACAGAATCAGTCTTCAGATCTTCTAGGTACACTTGCACAAAGTCAGGGATAGTTTGTAGGCATATTTCATCAGGTGTATGATTAAACAGTTACACCAAACATGTGCTGTTGATCACCAATTCAGCATGAAGGTTAAAACACAATCATGAAGTGAAACAGAAACAGCTGTGTAGGAGGAATCCAGCTGGGTGATGAACAGCCAAACTCTGCTAACAAGGTGAGGCCGCCGAAGACAGTTTACTGTCGAGACTGAGCACAGTAACAAGACACAAGGTGGTTACACTGCATCAGCAAGGCAGACAGGGGTTTCCAGATGTGCTGTCCAAGCTCTTTTGAAGAAGCACAAAGAAACAAGCATGCTGGCTGACATCCTGCCCGGTTCATCTGCTCTGTGCTGCTTGACGCGGCTTCCATCGGAAACAGACTGGCAGTGTGTTCTCAGCGGAACAGAGCCGCTTCTGGGAGCTTCTAGAATGGCCGTGATCAGCTCCAGCAGCCGCGGAGCTGGCAGGAACGCAACGCAGCCGTGCCCAGTGTTCCGCCGTTACAAACTTTCTGGCTGAATTTTTAGCCTCTTTTAGCCTTGAGCAACACGTTATCTTCACCTGTCACTGTCTGCTCTGTGTGTGCGCCAGTGACAGTGAGAGCGGCAGGACTGGCTGAAATGTTGTGACATTCATTCTCGTGTAAATAAACAGCAGATTCAATTAGTGAGTCAACGCTAAAGTAAGGTGGTGAAATAAGGAATACACTATGAGAAATACTAAATATAACCTACCCAGGCTCCACAGAAAAAAGCCGCAAATTATCACGTTTGAAAAAACTGGTACCATCAAACTCCAAGAAAATAAGGCATCATTAATGTGTCCTCACTTTGCTGGGACTTTCTTCCTGGGCATGTGTGTAGGTATGTTATCCTTAATGTGCTGGACATCCTCCAAATCCTTCTGGAATAACTCCTCAAGCTCCTGAAAGACAAACAAACTTCATAATGAAGTATTTTAAAGGTCATTTAGAAAAAGTGTGTCCATAACACGGGCACTGGGGATGCACAAGCCGGTGCAGTCTTAGTGCCAATCACAAGCCGGGATACGAGCGTTACGTCAGGAAGAATACGGAAGCCAAGAAGTGCCGTGCTTGCACATATGTTTTTTTTTTAATGCAGTTAACTCAAGATCACAAGATAATTACTTCATCTCCAGAAAACTAAAGGTTGTTTCCAGTGCTTAATTAATCAGCTGTTTCTCTCTCCCTTCACTTCCCTGCCGTTTCCCTCCTTTATATAGATTGCTGCTGAAAGTTTAATTTACAGGACTGAGTGCCATGCCAGGAAGCATATAGGGCTGTAGCAACTGATTTAACCTGGAAATGTCAGATCAAGGAGTACCCATTATCACCGCATCAGAATGTACTACTTCAATCAAGGCCTCACACAGGCAGAACTTTTACGGTGACTTTCTGTTAGAGACACAATTCAGATCAGTCCTCGTCTTTTAAAGGAGACTAGCCCGGCTTCAGGTTCACAGGTGAGTGAACTTCAGTGACACTGCTCAGATTGTTAACTTCATTAGTAGCCTTCCTGAGAGAACAGGATAAATTAAGCCGTTGCCACGAAAAAACAAGCTTTGTTCTCTCGTGATAACGAAATAATAAACTTGCGATGGAGACAATTGCAAGCATAGCTGTTCTGGCAGACTCAATACCCCTGTTAAAAAAAGGCATCGTGAAAGCTGCTAGTGTTTGGAGCCAATTACAAGTAGGGGTGCGACAACTAATCGACGTAGTCGAAGTTCATTTCCACCCCTGCTGTCCATCATGGGAGTTGTTCTTTTGCAAACTTCTCCGTTTGTGTCCATGGTTCTTTTTGTATGAGCTCCAGTGAGTATATAGAAAGATATATCTTCTTTTTTATGGATTTTTTGCACACTTTGTTTTAGAATTACTTATCTGTTTTTGCAAATGAACTCCTATATTAAGTTTCATATAACACTCGCTGTTCTCATTTCTCCAGTTCATGTGCATACAACTCTGTTTTTATAAACCCTAAAGTTTCCTTAGAAATCAGCATTTAGAAATGAGGTGGCTATTTTGATGACTGTCGACTAATATGTGGTATAAATATTAATATTGGCCTCAAATATCCAGTGCTGGTCAGGTTCTGAATCTTGCAGATATGGAAACAAAATAAACTGGACAACTGGATGCATTGTAGCTGCAGGATGTGCTGCTGATCATTAAATTAACAAACTACAGGCCTCCAGTTTACCTTCAGATGTTTGAGTTGCTCTTTCTGTCGACCAACACATTGTTCAAACTCCTCCAGAAGTCTCTCTATTGCAAAGAGTTCTTGTCCAAGTTTCCTAACCTTATTTTCAGGCAATTCTAAATGTGGAGAGAGAAAAAGAGTACAGAATGACCCATTTTATGACACCCTGTTTTAGCTTGGCATAATATTAAAACAGCAGAAAGGCCAATGTTACCAGTCTCGTCTCATATGAATCGCCGTGGCTTACCAACTACTGACAGATCCAGCATGCGTTGTAAGGATGATATCCTGTCATGAATGTGGTGGCTGATATCCTCCAGCTCACTCATTTTCCTGAAACAGGGACACATCCAATTAAATTACCAGGTAAATTTCCTGGATTCAAATTTAACATTAGTAAATATACCTCAGGTTAGATGTGCTAATATGAAACTGTACAATTAAAGAAGCAGAATTGAAGACAAAGTATCTTCAACCAAATCCAGTTGCCCTTGATTTTAACCTTCGTTGGATAACTATGACCTGGATGACTGAGAATCTTCATAGACAATTGAAGACAAACAAATCGCAACTCCAACGTTACGTTAAGCGATTGATTAATATCTATTAACATTAACGTAGTAGAAAAACAAATACGACGATAACGTTAAACTTAGTTAACTTCCGATTTGTCAGATGGGGAAACGTTAGGGAAAACTTCTGAGACCGATTCTCCGTCCTTTGGTGCACTTAGCGAACTCACTGTTGTGAAAGGATGTTAAGCTAAACATCCTAGTTCCAGCTGCCACTACCACATCTGCAGCGAGAGTTTTAATAGCGTCAGTGAATACCACATAGACCGTGTAAGTTAACGTTAAGATGAGGCATATATCATTCAAACACTGAAGTTCCGTCCGACTAAAACGCCACCAGCGTTGCGTGTATATCCAGGCGTAAACCTAAAGCTGTGCTTCAAAAACAGACAGCTTGATTAAGATAACTTACACAGAGTTGTGGTGTCCGCTCCTCTTCCTTAATGCTGCGTTCCCGGTTCAATCTTAATTTGAAAAGTGACGCGAGACCACTCCATGCTCGAGACGCAACAGCCGGCGCATGCTCTGTTTTAATGCCGCGTTCGATACCGGTCGGAACTGGGAATTTTCCCAGTTGAAATTTTCGACTTATGTTTCTTTGGCAAGTTTATGCACAGTTAAAGTCTCAGCATTGCACTGATGTTAGGCTAATTAATTAAAAACAAGTGACATATAGGCCCTATAGGTCATACTCGTTTGTAGCCTTCTAGCTACGTCAATTGGTAGGCCTAGTCCTCAAAAGTCAGAAAGTGGTGGGCTATATTTCCAACTGTTTTCACATTTCCGGGCATTTTTAAAAACATTTTCCTGAATAAATTTTGGGTATAGAAGATGACTTTCAGAGATTGTTTACTGTAACCAACTACCTAATAACACTGACAAAATATTTCTACATTCATTTACATGCAGAACAAGTTTTACTATTTGATCGGTATGCATTATTTTAATTTAATACTTTACGTTGCCTTTTAGTTCGTGGTTTACCATTTACAATGTGTGCTTCCATAGGAGCAGCCATTGTTGCGTGACGTCATTCGGCTGCAACTCGTGAAGTCGGGGTACAAATTTTTTCTCCGAGTTCACAAGTAGGAAATCCGACTTCAGGTGGCGTTTAATAGTACTTTTTCTAGTTGGAGGTCGGAAATATCCCAGTTCCGAGTTGCCTGGAACACAGCTTAATACTCTTCAAAGACTGTAGGAAATATGACAATTCAATGGCTACTGTCAAACAACAAAATGATACCGCCCTCAAGTGGTAGCCTATACAGCGTGGACAGACAACAAGACTTGAAACTACTTGACAAAATGTGCCAGAACATGTGAATTACACACAAAAAAGAAAAGCACATACACAACAAATAAACAACACAGCAGTTGCATATTCAGTCATATGTTTTAAACCCCAAATCTTCCTTGACTCATCAGCCACCATACTTGTATTTATTTTTCTAATTGTACTTAAACAATTAATGACCCTCATGGTGAACACCAAATGTAATCCTGTGAAGAAGGAAACTGCAGCACCCAGCTTTAATTGAATCACACAACTGCTTCTAGTGTGAAATTAAAGCCATTAATAAATTAAGTTATTTGAAATTTATTTTAATTTTAAATGGAGCTTCGGCATTCTCTCAGCAACAAAAAAGCATGCTACTTTGAAACTGCATCACTGCAGTCAGTTTGAACTAAAGTAATGCTATACTTACCTGAAGTCAAACAGGAGGAAGAAACCACAGAGGTGACAGTTTAATTGTTTCTACAATGCCATATTTCAGTATCTTAATACAATATATAACCCTCGTCCTGATTTAGAAAAGCTTGCACATATTGTTATCCGAGCATCAGCATCACTGTTAGGAATGTGGTTTTGTGTTCCTGTGATCCTGTTTAAGTCTGTTTCTGGTTCTGTGTAGCCTTTATTATTATTCCTCCGCATCTTTAAGTTACTTCATATCGGTCTTGTCTTGTATCTTAGTTCCTAGTTTGGTGTCTTGGCTCTTAGTCCTGTACCTTAGTTCATGTCTTTAGTGTTCACTCCTGGTCTGTGTACTTCTGTGCTGTTTTGCCCATGTCTGCTCTGAGTTCTGTTTATCTTGGCTTTAGTCTGTGTTCCTTGTTATTAGTGTATTCTTGATCTGTCTGCTTGTGTCTGGATTAGTTTGTTGTTTTCATTATTCTGATCTGTTACTACTTACTTTGATATGGTCCATGTCTAGTGTTCAGCAACTTGTGTTATGTCTGTTCCCCCTCAGTAATCTGCCTGCCAGCCAGTCTCTCTGTTTTCCCTTCTGTCTCTCTGCCTCGTTGGTCCTGATCCCGGTCACCTGTGTTGCTCCCGCCCTGCTCGTTAGTCCCTGTGTATAAATGTTTGGTGTTTCTGTTCATTCCTTGTTGTTGTTGTTGTTGTCTTATGTTGGATGAGCTGCCCTGTCCCCGTGTTTGCGTACCTCAGTTTGTACTTACTGTTGTTTGGACTTTGCTGTGTACCAGTGAGAGCCTGTTTAGTTTTTTGTTGGTTTTAATAAACCACCTGCATTGCATCCTGCTTTTGTGTCTTGTGTTTGGGTCCTAACCTGCACTCAGCCAACCATCATAACCTCCATGTATTAACAGACCTGAGCAACAGGGAAACATGGTCATGTATGTAATCAAATCGCTGTTTCCACAAGTATAAAGGTGAGTGACTGTCTTGGATGCTTGCTCCATAATCTCTATAAGACAGGCATTCCCCAATACAGTCTAGTTTAAAACTGTACTATAATACAGGATTAGACTGTTGAAGCAGTGCACTGTTTGAGGTTAAAACAAGTTCCACTGACTTGTTCTCCTCCTCCCTCACCTGTAGCCTACCTGAACGATTTAGCTACCACTGGTGGTGAGAGGTTGAAGAGTCGGCAGCCATCTTTTAGCGTTTGAATAACACAACACTTTCTAAAGTCATTTTGCATGCTATTTCAATTCATTTTTAGCTTTTCACATGTCATTTAATGCAATTTAGTCTCTACTGATGTATATTGTGCAGAAACGGCGCAGCTGGGGTGGAGTTACTGCCGGTTGGTGACCTGATCAGAGGCAGATGAGCAGACTTTGTAGGGATGATGAGGTCATTGAGAGGGGGCTTTCTCATTTCTTAGTTTGTGTCTCCTCACAGGAGAAGCTGAGCCAAGGAGAGACCTACTCAGAGCTGAAGATGAAGGATTTGATTTTTATGCACACACACTGCTCTATTTTATGGGACTGTATTGTAGTTTATGATTATTATAAGTTTTGTTAAAATGTTCTGAAAAGTAGCACCAAGAAATGTTAACTAACAAATGAAAATGATTTGAAAAAAGTTGATTTGCACAATAAGAAAACATGCAATGCAATATAGTTTTCCCTCATAAAAAGACATTTCCACCATAAATTGGAGCAGAAAATGTCTCCAGAATGCTGGAAATTACAAGTTTAATGCTCAAAACCTTCTGGGGGAGGAACCCCAGAACCCCCTCACACTTTTGCAAGGGACTGTATGCATGCTCCATTCTCTTTAGGGGCTGAGCACCTCTAAATGCCTGATTCTAGAATTGCCCCTGCATTGAAATTAAAGGAATAGAACTGTAAACTTACAGATTTTTTTTACAGTGTATGGTAAAGCATGATTAATGATGATTTCCATTGACGGCAAGGTCACAGAGTCTATTGTTGTCTCCTTTTTAGAATGGCATGTAAAACAGTTAGCTAGCTGTCTTAGCATGAAGCTTGACTGGCTGTGCATTGTGCACTCAGACATGCCTAGCTACGCGAAGGTTAGTTACATTGTACATGATATCCAGCAAAACTAGTTTTTGGACTGTGGTATCTGAAGTTTATGGTCACACAGCATAAACTAGACTGCTGCTGATATTGTATTGGAAATATACTCTGTCTAGATAATTTGAGGTGTATCTGCCTTGTTGTTTTCTCCTTTAGATGTGACATAGAAGCATGTATTACACTCATTGAATTGGCTTTTAAGGATCCATTTCTTGCGCCCAAACATAGCTGACCCCCATGGCCGTAATGTGTTTATTTAAGTTCATTGTGGTTTTAAAAAGAATAACACTCCCACCTTTATACCCCTTTCTCCATGGGGTCATGGACTCTTAAGTAGTCTGGACCTATGCTGGACATACAGTAGCTGTTACCACTTGCACAGGCCCAGTCATATCCCGGTACTATTAGGCAGAATTCCCGTATGAAATAAATATTGGTATTTTCTGCTAAGTGGGCTGGGGGTCTGTTTTAGCGGCCATGCTTTACTATTTGTAGTAACTTAGCTTGTTTCTTATTTTACCATTTTAATTATACTTGCTCTTCATCTTATTGAATTGCTTCCTTCAGTTCTCTTCACTCACAGACCTAAGACTGGTGTTCACTGTCGCTTTACCTGGTCCACTCTTGTAAAATATCCATGTGTCCTTACTTGTACTTGTGCTCTGATAAATGCTACAGTGTGTCAGAAGGGGCGGGGCTGTGCGGTGAGAGAGAGAGAGGAGCAAACGCTAGCAGGACTTATGAAACATATTAATTAACTCAAAATCAAACTACATCGGTATAAATGGTTTGTTTAATTTATATGAAATTATATTGGTTATACTGATATACCGCCCAGCCCAATAAATAACTTCAAAAAATAAATTACAAAGTGTATTCAGTGTGCACTGGAGTATTTTTAATTTTACACGAGCCTGAAAAGGTTTTGATGAAGCCTTTTTGCTGCTCTGATTATTGTAAGTCTAGTTCGAACACACTAGAACATGTGCACATCCAACAAACCCGTTGGCATAGTGCTGAATAATCATTCAATTCAATTTTTTATATAGCGCCAAATCAAACAACAGTTATCTCACAGCGCTTTTTCATAAAAGAGGCAGTCTAGACCATACTTATGTAAAAGGGGGGCTTAGAGGGAAAATAAGAATGACTGTCCCCTGAGTAATTATGAATCCACTCAGCAATATCATCATTGCAATGTTTCAACATGAGGTTCTCACGCAAACACACAGGTATTGTGAAGCTTATACTGTGAGGTAAAAAGAAACAATCAGCTGTTCTTATGCACCTCTGGTAAATAGGTGCTTACTATCAGCTGATT